AGTACCTTTAGAGCAACCACTGAAACATTACATAAGGATATTTAGTAAAAATCAAAAGAATACATTAAAATTGAGTATGAAATAATGTTCAAATGCAAAAAAGGAAATAGAGAAAGAAATCCAGAACTGATAAACAGAAAATACAGTAATAAAGTGGTAAATCTGAATATAAATACTACAAAATAACAAATATAAATGGTACAATGGCATCAAATGAATGACAATGATTATCTTGTATCAATTATGGAAGAATGAGGTTTGAAGTCTGTATAAATTTTGGATTGGTTTAGTTTTTTGCTCTGTTTTTTTCTATATATAGTTTGCAGTGCTATCATTTGACCCATACACCCTGGTACTTCCATAAAGAAAAGAAGGGAGATTCCTATGTCTTCTTGGCAGATTGACTCTTTTTAAATTACATACTATTTCTTTGTCTGGTGATTATCTTCACTCTGAAGTCTACTTAATCTATTAAAAATATGCTTATTCATTTTTATGAAGTTGTCTGTTTTATATTTTCCTTCACTTTACTCTCAACCAACCTGTAACACTGCAGTGAATTTCTTGTGGACAGCACTGAGTCAAGATTTCGTCTGTTTGTAAGTCCTTTCTGCCAATCTCTGCTTTTTAATTGGTGTATTTAGTTTATTCACATTCAATAAATTATTGAAATATAATGGCTTGTCTGTTATTTTACTTTTTCTTTTACATTTTCCCCTGTCTTTTAATTTCCCTGCTTTTCCTCCTGCTTTCCTATAGGTTTCCTGAACAAATTTTTAGAACTATTTTTGTTTATCTTTAGTGCTTTCTTGTATCTATTTGTGCTGACATTTTTGATAATGGTATATCAAAATATTGTTATATATGTATCACTGACTGTTGTTGACATTTTGCCAACACAAAATATAATTTATCATACTCTAAAATAGTTAAATATGCTTTTAATATATCATACTTCAAAATGTGAAAATATTTTATATGTGTATCATTTTTATATATGTCTTTTTTGGTATTTTGCAGTCATAAAGTGTAGAAAATTTATGATGATATAATCCTCTATTTTCATTGTTTACATATAATTATCTTAAATATTTGCTCTATATGTATTGAGGTTCATATCATACAATATTATATATTTTTGCTACATCTCACAAGCATAATTTATACATTTCAAGCAAAGAATTAAGTACACCTTTTTGGCTTCATATTTTGTCTTTGCTTCCTATTTAAAATATTTCTATTTAGTTTTTTCTAAAAGCACCCATTAACCACTGTTTGGGGTACATTGTTTCATGCCATGTTATAGTTTAAAACAAGAATTACCCCAAAACTCCTATGAGTTCATAAGTGGTGTTTTGGGGAGGTTGTTGAATCCTGGAAGATGCTGAACTCATTGGTGAATTTATTCACTGGTAAGTTCAGTGACTGAGTGTGCTATTAGGAAGTGGGTAACTAATCTGGTACTGTAAGAATGAGGACTCACTCTCAAGATAGAGCATTAATCTCTTCATGGAAGTGGCTTCTTTATGACCCCAAAACCACTTAAGGGCCACACCACCTCTCATTGACCAAATCTCCATGTGACTTTTGGTGAGAGCAAACCATAGCAATATGCAACAATTCAATACAGTTCTGACTCTAACAATAAAGAGTTAGCATCGGTCTGCACTGTTTTAACCACTCAGTCCTATCACCAAATGAGGCCCTAAAGAAGTGATGGAGACTCAATTTACTCCACCTGTGGGGTAGGCTGTAGGTTTGCTGACTTTTGTCAAAGGAAAGCAATTTTCAAGATACATAGACAACAGACATAAAAAGGTTTATTAGGCAACATTTATAAGAAGCACACACTCAGAGACAATAGAGTGAATGCAGTTGAGAGAGTTGCGTTACAGTCTGGGATTCGGGGATTTTTATGTGGTCTTGAGAGTGACTTCAAATTGGGTGATATAATGTGTGTATTTATATTTTCTATCAGGTTATTCTTTTAGTGGACTATGGTAGAATGCAAGTTGTTTGCTCCTGTATGAAGCTGGAATATATTGCCTATAAATACTGTTGCGTTTGTTAAAATGGAGGACGGTGAGAGAAAGGGCAGTTTACAGGTAAAAAGCATGGGTCTAAAGCCCAATGCACACTTAATTGTATTTTTAAGATCCTTAAAATTTTTTGGGGGGAGAGTGGAACTTTTTTACCCTTCTTGGAAGGGCAAAAGTCTGGTGTAACTTTTTGGGTCATGAAGCTGAAGTTTTTTAAGAGTACAATTTTAAAATTATTCATTTCCTTGTCACCTTTCTATCTATCTTTATTTCTTCTATTCTACCTAAAGTGCTGGATGACTCCTCCAATTCCATCTACCAACTGAAAGTCCAGAGCCACCTGCACTTCCTTCTGATCAACTGACTGACCATGGAATTCCCGTGACCCCTTAGTACTGACCAATAATTTGTTACACTGTCTCATAGAACTCAAGAAGTATTTTATTTATACTCATTTATTATAAATGATATATATCTAAATGAAAAAGATACATTGAGTAAGATACAGCTGCAAAGTGGTAATGAGCTTTTCTATGTCCTCTTTGGATGTATTACCTTCCCAGCAAATTGAATATATTGATCAAGTCTGCAGCTTATTAGATTACATTTTGATGAGTTTCCATAGCAATTCCATTGCTTGGGCATGGTTGTCACATTGTTGACTGTTAAATAATTGACCATTTCTCTACTTCCACTCTCCTTTCAGAAGGTCCAGGAACAGAACTGGAAGTTCGAAACCTTTTAATCACAGGGGTAGTTCCTCTGACAACTAGCTTCCATATTGAAGCTATTTAGGACCCACTAAAAATCACCTTATTATCACTTAGGAAATCCAGAAGGATTTAGAAGCTCTGTATTGGGAGCCAAGTACAATTAGAAAACATATTTCTTATCATTGTAACCTAATGGTTATGATATTTATTATACTTTTCACTCATTATAGTTTATTTATTATACAGTTTTTCATTTATTATAAATCTATGTCTATATTTATTTTATTGCTGGAAATGTTTAATTTTGCATTATGAAATAAAGTGCCTATTAAATAATAAATTAAGTCACATTTAATTTTCAAACAAAGTTGATGTTAAACATTTAATTTGCAAAACATTTTTGTTGACATTTGGTGTGCATCAAGGGGACTGCAGCGATAGTTTCATGAAATTCAAAATCTATAAACCTGCTGAAGCATTTACATACATTTCATAAGATAGTGATTACTTTAAGAAGGATGTGTCAGCTTGTAACATGCAGATGAAACAATGCAGACCTCTCATTTTGTGAATAGAACTTCTGATCTAGATTACGTTGTATTTACTCTAAGCATTGTATACTAACGTTCAATTTTAAGTTTTTGTGAGCATTTCAAAGGTAAGAGATAGTTATTAGACTCTATTAGCAAATAATATACCAATTATCAATGGCAAATTAATATCATTAGATTTAAAATATAATTAGTTAATTCTAACAGTGATTTGATAATATTTTCATCAAATTCATAAAATAATAACAATTTCAAGGAAGTTTACACTAATGTTCAGCCTTGTTATCAATATCACTATGAATTCAGTTAAAAAACAACATTACTGTACAGATAAAATTATATGTTATGTGGTGAAGATGTTGAAACAAGACACTGTAGGAAGATAAATGTTTTATTAAATAAAGAGCAATGTAATAGCACTAAAATCAGAATTGTTACTGCTACACACATAATTCATAATTGTTCACAATGCTCAGCCTTGCCAATTATTCTTCTCCACACTATTCCCTCCCCAAATCTCAGGTTTTTCTTGCCAGCTATCTGTGGAGCATCACTGACTGAATGGCTTTTAGGAACCTGGAATTCTCTACCCCAAACTGATTTCACCAACTTCCTATTGGTCTTTCTCCACACTTGAAACTTACCCTCTTACATATGACCTGTTTTCAGGAAACAGAATGTGAAAGAGCTAAGAAAGAAAGCATTAGAACATGTTTTAAAGTGGATCTCAGATGAACAGATTCATAGTTATGTTTCAAAGCATACTCTTTTGAGTGTCTCTTGTCTTATACTATTTTTTCCTTTCCTTCACTACTTCCCTTTTCTTCTCTTGTCTTTCTTTGTTTTTGGAGTCATCCAACCCCAAATCTAGAAAATCAACAATATTTTATCTTACACAGTGCAGTGTCAATATAACTATAAATCAATCAATACACAGTTACACATATATACATATGCAAACATATCGACATATGCAAGTATGTGTGGGTTTTGTGTGTGCATATATGTGTGCATAATGTGTTTGTGTCTATAAATACAAGAAGCCAGTTTCTATTTCAAAAATATCTTGTTTGTACAATTACGAATTATGCGTGCAGCAGTAACAATTCTGATTTTAGTGCTATTACATTGCTCTTTATTTAATAAAACATTTATCTTCCTACAATGTCGTTTCAACATCATCACCACATAACATATAATTTTATCTGTACAGTGATGTTGAGTTTTTTTTAACTGAATTCATAGTGTTATTCATAACAAGGCTTAACATTGTGAACCCAAGGAACTCAGGATAGAAACCCTGGGAACAGGGCTTCTTATGGTATCTGCTCAGGTTCCTGGAAGGCACCACCACCAAGATCAGGAGTTACACAGAGCTGGTTTTGAAAGTGTTACGAGATTCAAAAGCTGAGTGCTCTTGACAACTGTGGGGCATCAACTTGGAACTGCTGTCACAGGCACCTGAGAGGGACGCTGAGGGAAGGTGCTGTGACATGCTTCAGTTAAAGCACGTGGGGTCAAGAAGCTCTATATTCCTCCACTGCTTGGTGATTCCACTCCCCTTTGTAATACCCCAACCATCCTCAGTTCCCACAGAATAGGTGGAAGACTGAGGTGGGTGTGGGGGATATCAAGATCCGGTGACGCGGAGCTCACGTGATTCGCCTGGCGACTACGTGGGAACTGCCCCAGCTCCCGCCAGCCCTACAGTTTGGTCCTGGACCCGGCTCCCATTCCGAACCAGTTCCTTGAGCTCTCTGGGCTACTGGCAGCCCGAGAAGGCACAGGCCTGTCCAAGGCTTTTGCAGGTTAGTGTGAAAGCTGCGGGCGCCACCGGCAGACCTTGAGCAGAAGTGGAGATGGTGAGCAGCAGCATCCCACAACGACTGGGAGGGGGCGGTGAGCCAAATCAGCCAGATAGGCTAGGAGCGGGCGCAATTTGAGCCAGAGAGAATGGGAAAGGGAACCAGAGGGAAGACTCCACAGCAGTCCTCTGCTTCTCTGCCCCCACCACCGATTTTAGAACAAGCAGAGGAGGGAAATGCCCCGCAGTGCGACACTGAAACCTAGACTCATTATGAAAATAACCCTCCTTTTACATTCTGCATCTAGGACCTGGACAAAATAAGGGTGGGGGAAGGGGCAAGTTTTCTGCTTTCGCCCAATTATAGTTTGGAAAGCGTCCGGGTTTGGTGGCCAAATCCTGAAAAGAAATGGCGACTGAGGTGCGGGAGGAGGGGGTGATGGAGGAAAATGGCTGTGAAGAGGGCCCGGATTCAGGAAAAGGACCCAGTCCTTGGGAGCTCACTGAGTGCGCAGCTTCTGTCCCTGTGCCGTGTGTCTGCAGGTGTGTGCATCTGTTGTGGCCAGCGCTCTGTGTGAAGTGAAAAGGAGCAACCTGTTCAGGATACCCACAGGTCAGTGGAAGGGCAGCAGTATGCACAAGGACCCAGAGGGTTGAGAGTGCAGAGGGCACTGCCTCCCTCCTCTCCCCAGGCCCAGGTGGAATATGGGGCCCTGGTTTGTGTGGGAAGCATCTGAGATGAGTGTGCATGGAAGGCACACCTGGAGGTTGGGTCAATTTAGAAGAACCATCATGAAGGAGATACAAGTTTGTTTTCTACTTGGATTTCACTCTATGCCCTTAGTCTCCCATGTCTCCTCTTTGTCTCCTCTCCCCTCCACCCTAACCCCTAGGACAGGAACAGGAGGGGAAAACTCGACATGAAAAAACTCTGCAGTGGAAATGAAGGAAAGCCAGAAAAAGAGAGAAAGGCAGAAGACAAATTAGAGCCTGACGATGAAGGGAAGATCGAAAAGGAAGAAAAGACTGATCATGAGGGGAAGCCAGCATTTGAGGGGAAGCTAGAAGGTGAGGGAGAGCCAAATGTTGAGAGACAAGGGAAAAATGAAGGCAAGCCTGAAATGCAGAGCAAATTGGGAGATGAGGGCAGCCCACAGGGTGAAGGCAATGCAGAATCTCAGGCACGGCCAGAAAACAAGCAGTTGCCCGCTGAAAAGCACCTGGCAGAGGATTATGTGCCCCGCAAAGCAAAAAGGAAAACTGATAGGGGAACGGAGGATTCCCCCAAAGACTCTCAAGAGAATTTACAGGATACCCACTTGAGCAGGGAGGAGATGATGAGAGAGTTTGCAGATATGTCAAGGGGTCAGGAAGAGCTAAGGAAAAAACAGAGGATAAATAATTTTTATTGGATGCAAAGAGAGTTATTGGATGCATACCCACCAAGAGGCCCAAGGGGTGTCAGGGGAATGAGAGGTGGCAGTAAGGGCCAAAGAGGCTTGCCAGATATCCCATATCTTTAATGCGTTTGGTCTTCTATCCAGACTTCTCTGATGAGGATACTGCTGGCTCTGCTTCCCTTGGTAGATACTTGCCATGCCCTGTGGTTTAACCTTAAACTGATACTTTGCTCTAGGTGTCACTCTCCTTCCCACCTACTGCGCTTTGTCTTTTGTCTTTTGGTACTGGATTTTCTCCCATGTGCATGGAAGAGATGTTCATGGTATGTTGCAAAATAATAATAAAAATGAAGTTTGCAGAACCACTTATATAGTATCAGCCCCCTTTTATAAAATTGAACATATGCTTGCATAATGCAATTGTACACAAGACTCTGAACAAGTATACATTAAAATATAGGCAATAACTATTCCTATGCAGTGACTAAGAACAGGTCTCACTTATACTTAGAAATGCAACTAAATACCTGTTGGTTAAGTGCTTCTATGCCATTCCTCTCCTGCTGTTGCCACTTGGATTTTCTCTAGATGTATCTAGGCCAGTGAGCACTATTGCCCTTCTTTCTGGAGTCTCAGCCATCTTATGGTTCTTCTCTGTGTGATTCTATTTGTTTGTTTCTGTACTGAGGACTGAACTACTGTCTCTGCAGTGTACTACATCCTCAGCCTTTTTAATTTTTTTTTTTATTTTGAGACAAATCTCACTAAGTGGCTAAGTTTCCAATGGCTGGGCTCAAATTTATGATCATCCTGCTTTAGCCTCTAAGAGTACTGAGATTACAGATAAGTACCATCATGCCAAACTGTCTTTTCTTGTTCTGCTTTTTTTTTCATTTTTAAACTAATCTCCATTTTTGACCCAATCAATATGGATTACATTTGCCATAATCATAATCTTTAAAAGGCGAAGTCAACAAAACAATTGAACTGTTGAGGAAGTTTTGCAGGCAATATGACACAATTTTTGTTGTCAGAATGGAAAATAATAAAAAGTCACATTTCCTCTTGGGCTTACAGGTAAAAGACTCATCCTGTAGTTACTGATCCATTGCTGTAAGGATTAGTGTTGTGATCGTGAAATGAGGATTGTACTTGTTTTACAGGATTCCCTAGTGAATCAAATGACATGCTAAATGTATGAGTTGTGGCTTAAAATAGTCCATGCCAGAAACTTGGGAGGAGTGACTACTTGGGAGTAACAGAATCATCAATGAAACCAGGCACTTGAGGGAGGCTGAGGAAAGTCTCACTTGGGCCCATGAATAAGTCCAGGCAGCTAAGAGGTAGATGCCACACTGTCCTGTATATTTCCATATCTGCTAAACATAGCTCCCTTTCTAGTAGGTCCTCCACTTTTTCCTGATATGGCTTTACAATGGCTAAAGCCGTGTCAACATACCACTGGTGAGCCAGTGCTTACCACCTTTGGCCCCAACAGAAGTGGATAAAGTCCTCTCATCACTTAGGAGTTACCGTCACCAGTTACTGGTGAGTGTCATGGGTAACTGCTTGAGTCTTAGTAAAAATCTTACAGATCCTTTCTCAGAAAAATGATCACTTATGTGAGTTTTGTTGATGTGATCATGTGTTTTTACAAACTTCAATAACTTCAAAAAATTCATACATTTCAGGCTAGGCCAGAAAAATATATCTGTGATAGTGGCTGTGTTCTCATCTGTTAGTATCTTGTCTGAAAAACTCTTTTATTTCCAGGAAATTGTCATTAGGTCCAACCTTATCAGCTCAACAAACCCATCAATCTGAGCTTTAAGTCCTTACTGGTGAACATGTGGTCCATAGAGCAGCTGCATTAGCAGTAAGTGAAAGCTAATTACATTTTTAAAAAAAAATGTATCCCAGGCTCAATCTCAGACCTACTGAGTTAAAATCTTGATTTTAGCAAGATCTCAAAGTGTCTGAAAAATCCTTGAGATGTCTGAGATGACTCTTTTAAAGATGACTCTTTTCAGGTTTCCTGTTCTCACCTTCACATGAAATATGTACATGAATCATATAGGATACACATCACAGATTATTAAATTGGCCTATGTTTGTCAAAATGCAGTTAATTTTCTTGTTCAAAGTTGATCTTAGAATCAGTTTAGTGGTTCTAGGCTTACAACTTCTTGATGAAATAGGATACAACACAGTCAAACAAAGCCACATATGAAAGATCAAATTATAAGTAGGATGAATGTTGTTTTGTGAAAAGTATATTTTAGCTGTGTATGCATGCATGTGTGTATATCAAGAATTGTGATAAAATTATTTCTGAGGGTTGTGGTTAAATATTTTAAGAAATACTGCATTCGACCCTTTGAATCCTAAAGATTAACCTCTCCATTTCATCTATGTATTTCTAGTGCCCACCACAAATATCTGACAACTATTAGGTATTTAGTAAAAGTGTAAATAATAATTATTAAGATAGAAACCACAAATTCTTCAAGTTTAGCCCGTATCTACAGAGCTAGCCTCAGACAAATGAATTGTTTAGTAAAGTTTATTTGCAGCTCCCAAATGATTAGGGATTCATTATTTTCAAAGATTGGACAGAGACTGCTGTTATTCAGACATTGCAGGCTAGGACAGGAAAGCTGCCGTCATGAAAGGATAAATTCTCAGCAGAAACAAGAAATGCCCCTGGGCTGCAGTGTGTCAAACTTCTCAACCTTGGGAGAAGACAGGTTCTGCAACTTGGAACTAACCAGTTCTGGAATCTGCACTATAAACAGACCCAGTGGAAGGTTACAGAAACATAGCTTCAGAAAGATACAAAAACATGCCTGCTAGGGTGGGAGTTCAGAGCATCAGGGCCAGCACTGCAGGAGTTGCAGTTAAATATGTACCTGCATATCATCAGGCTCCACTTAACATAACAGAAATAGGGCCCTGGGTTTTATGAACAGCACATATCATTTTGATTTTACGCTTAGGTTCCATGTGATTTCCAGTTTTAAATGGTACCAAGAGCAAGAAAAAAATCCACAGTATGTCCACACTTACAGCTTAAGCTTCTGTAACGATTCAGTCTGTTGATCCTGCAGATCCAACAGTACTGTGTGTAGTTTGACTCAGGTGCTTCATAAAATCTTTGAAAGCTCTAATAGCAGAATTAGACTACTAAGCCCTAGGGTGCTAGGAGAGAAACCACTGGTCCTGACTTGTTATTAAACCCTAGTAGAGATTTAACAAGTGATCATGAGTTACTAATTTTCTTCACAAATAAACCACATATTATGAATGTTTCTGTCTACTCTTGAATAATAGTATTTGGTGTGGGCCCTAGCTTTCCACTATTAATTGCAGGTGGCTTTAAAATATAGGTCATACGAAAGTTGTGAAGGCACAAATATAACTTATATGTAGTTGGATCCAACTTTTTCAATGCATGCTTCTGCTGTTTCATTGCCTCTGTCAACCTACATGCTGTAGTGTGGCACTGGAATGTCCCTCAATGCTCATGGATTAAGTTCTCATTCCCAAGAGTTGCACTACTGGGAAAAAATCTATTAAGAGGTCTTCTAGTCACTGGATGTGTTCCCTTGAAAGACGATGTTTGCTTTCGGTCTTTTAAAGTCTCTTTTTTCTCCTTTGCACTTTGCCAAGAGCCTGGCACACACAAGAGAACTGGCTTCCTAAACCATGTGTTTCTATAATATTATACTGTGTCACCATGGTCCCCCAGCAAAAAAGCCAACCAACCATTAACTGAAACCTCCAAAACTATGATGATGAATAAAAAATAAACTTTCTTGTGAATTCACTTATCTCAGATATTAGAGTATTGGAAAGCTGAGTAATACATTACATGTGTCTTTTAGGACCCTGTGCAAAGTTCCTCTTACTCATGATGAATTAGAAAAAGAGATAAAACAGTGCCCCAAGTCATGGATGCATCTTCTTCGTATGTTGATAGCAGGTGCAAATGGAGAGGCATTTCACCTTAGGTCACTCGGTCATAATCATAATCATAATCATAACAATGTGAAAGAAATGTTTCCAGTGGAAAGGATTTTGTGTGCCTCATGTGATGATTCATTTTGTGTAACACTTATCCTTTCACAGTGACTAAAAGATCAGCTGATCATGGACTTGAAGACAATTAATTAAGAAAATTAATGATTAAAATGTTCGGTGAATAGGTCTGTAGATCAATCACTAATGAATTACACAAATATTAAAGATATTTTCATGCCATCATGTAATGACTTAGTCTTGCATGACAATTTACCACACACTTAGAAGCTTAACAAAACACTCATTAACTCACAAGTCTGTAGGTCATAATTAGGACAATGACATTATATGCCCTTATTCTCTGGTCAAGGTATTACAAAGCTCAAATCAAGACATCAGCCAGACTGAGTTCTTATCTGAAGGCAGCAAGTGAAGTAACAAATCAGCAAACCACAAACAACACTAGCCCTCTTTCTGTCCCTTATATTTTATCCAGTTTACCTGCTTCAGGGCAGTAGCATTCACACGGAGGGTGGGGGGTGGGGGCAACATTAATCTTGCACAGAACTGTGACAAACCAATCAATGGATTAATTTAGTAACCACATACGTTTGATTCCAGCATCACAAACCCCCAGCATCACACACTCTAGATCCAGTTACTTTTTAAAAGTCCTACTTATAACCATATGAGGCTTTGGGGAGATATCTAGATGCAAGCAATATCACACTCTATTTAAATCTGTAAATTTTCTTGTTAGCAGAACAGAGTAGTATTTGATTAACTTAGAAAAGATATGTATATATCATGGGCTAGTATTTTGAAGGGCCTTAGAATTCCACCTGGCATAGTCTGTCTTATACTTCCCAAATTTCATGTCATTTTCAAATGCAAAATCCACTTAACTCTTCAAAAGATTTGCAATAATATTGCCCCATTACAAAATCAACTCAAAAGTCAAAATATCATCTAAATCATTAATGAAAGTATCCATTATGTATTGCAAACATTCTAGTAAAAAAACTCAAAAAATAAAAACAAGTTAGAAAGCAAGTTTGTTGTTAAAATGAAAAAATACATTGCAACTTTTACTCCCTGATGTCTATTTTATCTTCATTTATGAAGACCTCTGCTATTCAGAAATTTTACTTTTTCATCAAAGAAAATAGGCAAAAAAGAGAAAGCTATGTAATACATGTAGTAAATTATGGTCTCTATTACCCTAGCTAAGACTTGTGTAGTATGAAATAGGACTGTGCTCACATTGGAAAATTTGAGAGGAGTTTGTAACCAAAGATGATATACAAAGATGCAGAATGAACATTGGAGAACCTTAGGGATAGTG